TATATATATATATGTTTATGTCAGCGGACTGCGTGTATGCAAGCGGATTTAATATTGTTTCAGACCATTCCCGATAATGACCAAATAGCCGATGAAAAAGCATCATCGACATCCGATTTGGATTGTGGTATATTCTTATTTGTTGAGTTTATACTTTTTAAACTAACTCTTGTCTTTTCAAGCGGTGAGAAGCTACAGGCCTGACGACTTCGAAATTGTTCGTCGCATAGAAATGGTACAGACAATTTTTTGATGTCCCTATTTGCTAGTACACTAAATATTCAGTAACGTTTTACACGTAGGGTGACATGGCTACCATGCTGCTGGGCAACGTGGGACGAATCGTGTTCTATTTCTGTATGGGGGTGTATTTGTTCGGCGATTTGGCCATATACGCGGCGGTCGTGCCGAAGTCATTGATGAACGCCATTTGGTGAGCACATGCCATAGAGCATCGTATAGTCATTTTTGTATGCCCGGCAGTAGGCGATGTCTATTTACAGCACGTACACTCCGTTGAACCAGACGGGTAATTTCTTCAACGTTTCTGGACAAGAGCCGTGCTGGCCAAATGCCAACAAAGTTCTGACGCGAATGACCGTCTACCGACTGTTAGTAGTAAGTCATCCATTCAACTGTCATCCTCATGGCTTCCGCTTACCTCCCATTATATTTCATAGATTGTTTTCGCTATATTGATTGGACCGTTCAATTTTACTAACCTGTCAAGGACGAAATACCTGCAGGTCATAACGTCCGTGTTCCGTTGGAGCTGTAAGCAAAGATTTTTGTACGTTATAATTTTTTTAAATTCACGTCCACATATTTCATTAACAAAAAACGGCTCCCTGTCGTCTCCCCGCCACCTTGTTTTTCATCTTCACTGCTTTCGTTTAATTTTTCTTCCGAGCATAAAGAGGGGTTAATTTTCTGTATGTCTGTTTATTACATAAATTAGTATTATTGATTTTTAAGTTAATATTAAAACCTGTATGCTATACGTTAATTTTTCAGCGTTTATCGTGATGATCGTATGGGCTGCTGTGATTCTTGGTATTTCCGGCGTCGACGGGAGTCCTGTAGCAGCGAACGGCAATAAGTTCACGAATTTATTTGGCGTTAGTGTTTACGGGTTCATGTGTCATCACAGTCTGCCAGGAATGGTTACTCCTATGAAGTAAGCATGGCTATTGAGTGATTTGTCCGGTCGTGGCGTGTGCAGTACATTTTTGGTTCTGTTGTTCAGGAACAAGAGGCATTTTTTTATCTACATGGTCGGCGTGTTCATCGTAATCTTTTTGTTCTACTCGCTGGTGTCGCTGACAGGGGCGTTTGCCTTCGCCGACGTCGACGACGTGTACACCTTGACGTTCTTCCACATCGCGCTTCCGGCCGGACCGGTAGGCACTGTCCTGCGCATCATACAGTACGCGCTGTTGTTGTTTCCCGTGTTCACGATTAGCGCCAATTACCCGATCATTGGCATAACGCTCCGCAACAATCTGGACACCCTGATATTTGTTCGGCGGCCACCACAGCAACAGGTGAGCGGCATCGACGGCGAAAACGATCACGGAATGTCCGCAGAGTCAGAACCAAGGGTCGACAAGGTCGGCGTGTCTACCGAGCAGTTGGTTGAACCGAGCGCTGACCCTCAACCCAGTAAGACCACGACGTTTTTGAGACGCATTCTCCTGCCTTTGTTGATCACCGTGCTACCTTTGATCTTTTCGTTGCTCACCTACGACGTAACGCTGCTGGCCGCAATTACCGGCAGCTACCCGGGCGTCGGCGTTCAGTACCTCCTCCCATCGTGGCTCAGCCTGGCTGTTCGCAGAAAGATGCAACGAGATATAAGCGTGGATTTCCAACCGCCATACGCTAGTCCTTTCAAAGGATTCTTCTGGGTGTACCTTTCGTTCTTCTGGGCCGTATGCACCGTCTGCATCGTCACAGCGAATTACATTATCCAGAGCGTCTCTTAATCTGTGCTCCGCTTAGCCACGCAACTGATCATCAATCGAATTTATCTACTGTTTTGACAGTCCGTTGCTGTTGTATGCGCAATTTTATTACGAAATGTCACGTTTTTACCAATATCTGGAATTATAAATTATTTGGTTTATCACTTAATACAATAGTATATTCCGTATCATTATATTCCGTCTAATTCGTTTCTTTAAACATGAAATTTTTAAATACGGATGCATCTGATTCTACGGTTAACAGCACTCGAAACGAGAAAAACCTTATTCAAAAGCGATTCCATGTTTCGGCCCAACTGCCTTTGGTCATAGTTGATGAATGAAACTTCCTAAGTTAGTAGAAGTTTGTACTGCTAC